AGAAAGAACTCAAAGAAACAACTTAATCTCGAAGCTCAGAGATATAGAAAAAGAACAACAAAAAAACCCCAAAACCAATAGAAGAAGAGAAATAATAAAAACCAAAGCAGAAATAAATGAAATTGAAACTAAAAAAACAATCCAAAAGATCAATGAAACCATGAGCTGGTTCTTTGAAAAAATCAATAAAATAGACAAACCCCTAGCCAGGCTCACAAAGGAAAAAAGGGAGAAAGCACAAATAAACAAGATCATAAATGAAAGAGGAGAAATCACAACGGACACAGCAGAAATCAAAAGAATAATCAGAAACTACTATGAACACTTACATGCAAACAAGTTCAACAATCTAGAGGAGATGGACAAATTCCTACAACTCTACAATCACCCAAAGCTAGATAAAGAAGAAATAGAACACCTAAACAGACCAATTACAAGCAGCAAAATTGAAATGGTGATCAAACACCTCCCCAAAAACAAAAGCCCAGGACCTGATGGATTTACAAATGAATTCTACCAAACAATCAGAGATGTATTAGTGCCTATCCTTCACAAACTCTTCCAAAAAATTGAGAAGGAAGGGACAATACCAAACATGTTCTATGAAGCCAACATTACACTAATACCAAAACCGAACAAGGACAACACAAAAAAGGAAAACTACAGGCCAATCTCCCTAATGAACACTGATGCAAAAATCCTCAATAAAATTTTAGCTATCAGAATCCAACAATGTATCCATAAGATAATTCACCACGACCAAGCAGGATTCATTCCAGGGACACAAGTATGGTTCAACATCCGAAAATCAATCAACGTTATCCAACACATCAACAAAAAGAAATATAAAAATGATATCTAATATCAATAGATGCTGAGAAAGCTTCGACAAAGTGCAACACCCATTCATGATAAAAGCCCTTGAAATTCTTGGGATACAAGGAACATACCTCAACATCATAAAGGACATCTATGACAAGCCAACAGCCAGTATCATTCTCAATGGCGAAAAGCTGAAAGCAATTCCATTAAGATCTGGAACAAGACAAGGATGTCCACTCTCACCACTGCTTTTCAATATAATACTGGAAGTCCTAGCCAGAGCAGTAAGACAAGAGAAAGACATACAAGGAATCCAAATAGGAAAAGAAGAAGTCAAACTATCACTATTTGCAGATGATATGATAATATATAGAGAGAACCCCAAAAACTCCACAGAAAAACTAATTCAACTCATCAATCAGTTCAGTAAAGTGGCAGGATACAAAATCAAAACACAAAAGTCAGTACCCTTCCTATACACAAACAATAAATCTGAAGAAGAAGAAATAAAAAAAACCATCCCTTTTATTATTGAAACAAAAAAAATTAAATATTTGGGAATAAATCTAACAAAAGAGGTAAAGGACCTATACAAAGAAAACTATAAAACACTGTTAAAAGAAATAGAAGAAGACACAAAGAAATGGAAAGACATCCCCTGCTCATGGATTGGAAGAGTAAACATTATTAAAATGGCCATCCTACCAAAAGCAATATACAGATTCAATGCTATTCCAATCAAAATTTCAATGTCATTCTTCAAAGAAATAGAACAATTATTGATGAAATTCATATGGAATCACAAAAAACCCCGAATAGCCAAAGCTCTCCTGAAAAAAAAAGAAGGGAATGGAGGCCTCACACTCCCAGACTTCAAACTATACTACAAAGCCATAATCATCAAAACTGCATGGTATTGGAACAAGAACAGACATACAGACCAATGGAATCGAATAGAAAATCCAGAAATAAACCCACAGATTTATGGTCAACTAATCTTTGACAAAGGAGCAAAGACTATGCATTGGAGCAAAGAAAGTTTGTTCAATAAATGGTGCTGGTATAACTGGGTCGCTACATGCAAAAGAATGAAGCTTGACCACTACCTCACACCATACACAAAAATCAACTCAAAATAGATTAAAGAACTAGACATAAGACCTGAAACCATAAAATACATAGAAGGAAATATAGGTGAAACACTACATGATATGCACATCAAAGACATCTCTACAGACACATCACCCAAAGCAGTGATAGTGAAGGCAAAGATCAACAGCTGGGACTACATCAAATTAAAGAGCTTCTGCACAGCAAAAGAGACAATAACAAAAACAAAGAGAAACCCCACCAACTGGGAGAACATTTTTGCACACAACACTAATGATAAAGGACTGATCACAAAAATCTGCAAAGAGCTGATGAGACTCAACAACAACAAAGAAAATAATCCAGTCAGAAAGTGGGCAGAAGAGCTAGAAAGAAACTTCTCTTAAGAGGAACTGCAAATGGCCAATAGGCATATGAAAAAATGTTCAACATCACTTGTAATCAGGGAAATGCAAATCAAAACTCCCATGAGATACCATCTTACACCAGTGAGAATGGCACATATTAAAAAAACTAGCAACAACAAATGTTGGCAAGGGTGTGGAGAAAAAGGAACTCTTCTGCACTTTTGGTGGGATTGCAAACTGGTCCAACCACTATGGAGAGCTGTGTCGAGATTTCTGGACCTACTAAACATAGAGCTTCCATATGATCCAGCAATTCCACTACTAGGTATTTACCTGAAGGACACAGAAACATCAATTCCAAAGAGCACCTGCACCCCTATGTTTATAGCAGCACTGTTTACAATAGCTAAGCTTTGGAAACAGCCCAAATGCCCAAAAACAGATGACTGGATCAAGAAGATGTGGTACATATATACCATGGAATATTACTCAGCATTCAAAAAAGATAAACACGTGCAATTTGCAGCAACATGGATGGCTCTGGAAGGGATCATGCTCAGCGAAGTAAGCCAGAAAGAAAAAGAAAAATACTAGATGGTCTCACTCATACCAGGAATCTAGAAAACTTAAATAAGAGACCTGGAAAATAAATAACTGTAAGAAAGTGAAAATCAAAATCAACAAAAAACTATGAACCAGAGATACTCTATGGTGGGTAGGGGGCGGGAGGGGAGGGATTGGGGTCAAAATAAGGGAGTTGCAATTGTATGGGGAATATAAAAATAAAATTTATTATGTTAAAAAAAACACTTCATTTTTTATTTTATATAGCCAAGTAGTATTCCAAGGTGTGTGTGTGTGTGTGTGTGTGTGTGTGTGTATATATATATATATATATATATATATATATATATCTCACATCTTTCTGATGTACTCATCTGTATTGGGCATGTAGGTTATTTACATACCTAAGCTATTATAAACAGTGCTGCAATAAACATAGGAATGTATAATGTTTCTTATTTTTTTCCTTCGTATTTCTTTCCTTCTTTCTTTCCTTTTCCTTTTCTTTCCTTTTCTTTCTGTATCCTCATGAGTACTGATTCATTCTTCCATTTCATCAATTCTGTTTCATTGCTTTCCCCAGAATTCTTTCACTCCTCCATTAATCTTTTTTTTTAACAGCTGTTGGCCATTTATTTGTATCTCTTTTTTTTTTAAATAAATTTTATTTTTATATTCCCCATACAATTGCAATCCCCTTATCCATTAATCTTTTGATCTCCTATGTTTCTTTCCTTTCCCTTTTTAGGGACTCAATTTCATTCTTAAGTTCATTAATTATTTTCATAATATCATTCTTTTCCTTTTCATCTTCTTTATGTTTTTTTAATGACGACCATTTTAAATTCTTTACCTGGCAGGCAGAGAAGTTCTTCCATGTCATTGTTGTTGAGTTCTGGTTGCTGAATTTCTTTTTGTGGTGTCCTTCCCCTGAGGACCTCTTAGTTATTTGTATTTTCCCTTCTCTCTGTTGTTTGTTTTCTAATTTGCTCTATGTGTTGAGACACAGTGCTACTGATGTTGGCGGGCATCTCTTTGGAGTGCTCCTTCTGAGATACTGGGAACTGGTGGCCGGACTGAGCCCAGCACTGTTATGCCAAAACTCCACAAGGGTAGTGATGCTGTGGGTATGTTGGTGGGTGCTGTCCCTGAAGATCCCCTCCCTCTGTTTACTCAGTTCCACAAAGGAATTGTAGGGCCTCTGTCTTTGTTAGCAGCGGTGTCCCTTTCTCAGTTCCCAAAGGGGATCACAGGATCCCTGTCTTCCAACAATGGCACAAGGGCTGTGCTTTCCTCGTGCCCACAGTTTACCTTGTTGGCAGATTCTGTACCCCAGTTCAACTTGTTTCCAAAGCTCAGGTGGGTGCTGGAGGCCTGCAGCAGCTTTGCTCCATGTGTACTTTCTTACCGATCCCTGTTTTGGGGCCCATCCTCTCTCAGATCCAGAAGGTAATTGTGGGGGTCCCTGACTTCTAACAATGGTGCAGGGGTTGTGCTCTCCTGGTGTGGTGCCCACAGTTCACTTTAATGGCAGATCCTGCATCCCAGTTCAACTCCGTTCCAAAGCTCAGGCGGGTGCTGGGAGCCTGCAGCATCTTTGTTCTGTGTGCACTTCCCTACTGATCCCCTTTTTGGGGCCCTCCCTTGCTCAGATCCAGAGGGTGATTGTGGGAGTTCCTGACTTCCAGGAATTCCTGACTTCCCCCAATGGTACAGGGACTGCACCTTCCTGGTGTCTACAGTTTACCTTGATGGCAGATCAAAGGGAATATTCTTTTTTTTTTTTTCAATTTCTTACTATTACAGATATAGTTTCAATGAATATTTGTATGTATTTTTGTATGTATTGCAATTATTTCTGCAAAATCCTTAACACTATTCTTCTAAAAAGGACAGACATGTTAAATCTTAAATTCTATTAAATTAGCCCCTGAAAAGGTGACCAATTATACTCTCATATGTACCCAATCTCCCACATTTTTTATTGCACTTAACATTATCAACTTCTTCAATTGTTCTTTTTTAAAATTTATTTTATATAATTCTTACATCATTTTTCATCTTTGCACAATGTATGCATTTTCATTTTGGTTAAACGGAATATTCTTGAAGGCTATACAATACAATATAAAATTGTTGCAAACTACTCATGCTTACCTGGTCAATGTTGGTCAATGGTTCCTCATCCTGTACCAGCATTTGAGAAAACTGCAAGCCTTGGTCTGGGCTGATCCTTATCACACTCCTCAGCAAAAAGATCCAGTCTGGGGTATAGCCAACCTCAAAGGAAGGAAACCCCATTAGGAAAATAAATGAAACAACCTGAGTGTTAAGAATAAAAATCTCCCCATCCTTTGTTTGAACTTATGTTTACAAAGGAATGAGAAGCAAATTAATGTGTATGTGCCAGCCCTCTGCCAAAAACAAGATCCAACTAAATGTACCAACTCCATTTATACAAAGGAGCAATCAACTACACAAACAGCCCATGTCACAAAGTAAGAATTAGCGAGAATTATGCTTCTTAATCTGTCTTGCAAACTGTATGCAAGTTCTAACCAAAATCTAGCAGAGCAGTCTATGATCTATGGGAACAAGGCCTAGAAATCTACCGAAACATCAAATTGTGGAAAATTCTAAAGCGGGAAGGGTTCAAGGAAAGAAACGAGTAAGATAAAATTACAGGAAAGTCGCAAGTGGAAAGGAGATGGGGGGATCAAACATTAGCCAGGAAAATAAATATGTAAAACATGATGTTAACAGCAACACTGATAAAATCTCACTAGAGTACTTACATAGAAGAGAAATTTATAAATACAGAAATCAACAACCACCCAACCCCAACTATAAATTCATCATTTGTGAATTTAAATTATTAAATATGCACTACCTTTTTGGCATAGAGAACAATTTTCTGAAATTGGCCTGTTTCTGCAAAACAATGGGTAACTTTGCTTGGCACATCTGCGCGAAGATACACAGTCAGAGCCAGGGTAGGGTCAATAGTTTTGACCAAATCTCCAAGCTCTTCTGAACACTCCAGCTGTGGTGTGTCAAAGGGACAAGGTAAAATTAGTAACTGAGGGGCAGTGAGCCTGTGACCTAAGTTTTCAAGTCATGCCGGGGGGCAGTGATGCCACAAGTGTCTGTACCTTATCTTCTTTCAGCCACTTTTCTAAGAGTTGCTTGCGCCCCTGCTGAAGGACTGGACGGCAAAGTTCTAAGGATTCAAGTTTATTGAGCTGACCCTGGTCAAGCAGGATTCCAAAGTACTGGAGCAAAGGAGAAGCCTCTCCAGGTTGGATGGGTATACTCTGGAACTTACGAACTGTCTCACTGGTACGAAGAATTCCCTAATAGTAAATGGAAATGCATGTTGTTATTTTGAATTCCTCCAGTTAACATGCCTGTATTTATTAAAAAATATTTGCCAATGGAAATGCTACACTGAATTGTGAGGGACAAAAAGTCCTCTATCAAGGCAATGCCCTCTACCATCAACAAGTATAGTAGGTCTCAGTCCCATGGGACACTTCTAGTTAGGATCCTCCTTCTCCCATACAACAATGCAGTAAGAATTATGCTTCTTAATCTATCTTGCAATAGCAAAGTTCTAGAACCACTACATTCCAATTCAAAATACTCAAAGTTCTAGATGAACACTAGAAGAGGTTTGTTCAAAGCATCACTTGGAAGACAGGAAAATCCTTTCAAGGAGAAGCAACTTGAGGGCCTTTATTACTCAGGAACAAATACAGTCTTAGGACAATTTATCCTAATGAAATAAATAAAAGAAAATGCATACGTGGTATTGTTATACACTAGAAGAGTGGAGAAAGTCCAGAGTAGGAATATGATTACATAAAATAGGATACAACAGGTATTACATGCTTGCACATTTGCTAGATGAAGAGCTGAGTAAGAAGTATGTATACATATAGAACTGGAAGATTATGAAAAAGAATATATCTTTACAGCAAGATTATGTTTCTCCCTCTCTCCTTTCAAAGAAAGTTCTTTATTGTCCAATCAATTACCAAGTGTTTAAGGAAGGCTAGCACTGAACTGTAGACACTGCGCTAAGCATAAATACAAAAGATACATAAGGCAGAATGCCTGTATATTTGAGGCAGAAGTCTGCACTTTTTGTTTGTCTGCATTACTGTTATGCCATTGGTACAAAGTCTTAAGGCTAAAAACATAATAAAAATACTAAGATACTCCAACATCAATAGTGCGATGCTTAGAAATTTTTATTTCATTCAGAAAGTAGCACAGTGTTCAAGTGCCATTACCTTCGGTGCAGATGCTGCTAATCTGGCAGCTTCAGCATAGCTCTCCTGTGCAAACAAGATGCTGAATTTTCTTAGAAATAACTCTTCTGCTCCAGTAAGATTACTACGAATAGCCAAACGCAGCCCAAGGTCTGGATTCTGAAGCACATTGGCTATATAATTCACAATGTTATCTTCTTCAACACAAACTGACAGAACCTAGAAGGACCCAACAAATGAGACTAAATCAGGCCAGAAAAGTGCCAAACGCATACAAAGAAAAGTATACTAACAGACACTGTACTATCAGCAAAATTCTAAGGTTCATGTACTATCAGCAAAATTCTAGGTTCACCATTATATCTATAATGGTGGCCCTAATAGTGACAGGATGAAAAGGGGGTAAATGCCATGCCTAATGGTAACATAGTAGAACATCATGGTATTGCGACAGCAATTCTAGGTAGTTGTATAAAGTACTACAAAAACATCACATGAAAAAAATACATGGATATTGATTATGATGCACTCAGGATGACAACTATGCCAAAAGGACTTGTTTGGGTGGAACTGAAATTTTCTTTTCTTAAACTTCCTCAAAGCACAAACTATCTTTTTTTGTTTTTTGTTTTTTTTTTTGTGGGACCCTCGCCGGCGGCCGGGGAATGAACCAGTGCTGCAGAGGCTGTGGGCAGCCTCACAGCCCAGCGCTCAACCGCTGCACCACCAGGGGAGGCCCAGCACAAACTATCTTTTAACTGTCTTAAACTTTATTTGAAAAAGGTAACTTAGGTACCCTGGTTATCTACCTAAGCTTTTTCAACCCTCTGCAATCAACATGTGCATGGCCCAGTGATGTTATTGGTAGCACTAAAACTGCTTCTAAACAGGTAGAAGTTTCATGCAGGAAGGAAGCTGCTCTTTTCTCAGAACTGACCTTGTGTTAGTAATGGTGGTGAGAGGCAAGGTGATGAAATGGTAGAGAAAGGTAACAGGGATGTGATGTTAATAACAGGAGCTAACTTTACCTGACTGATTTCCTGGAGGAGAGAAGTTGAACTCCAGTCCCCAGTGAATGGAAAAGGTGGAAGATGAAACCTCAAAGTTAAATACCTGTCCCTTTTTGTTGACTCCAATAATTCCAGAGGTAGGTTCGTGTGGAGCAGTTACAAAGATAGTGTCAGCACTAATACGGTTCATGTAGATGCATGTGCCAGACTCCAGGTCATACATATGAAGATAGCCATACTTTGTAATCAAGTAAATAACACCATGTTTCACTCCAATCTATAAGACAGAGAATATCAGGTAGAAAATTAAGAAGAAGTAAAATAGGACAAAAGAGTTCAAAAATGATGAAAGAGAATTCTTGGCTTTTTTAGACCAAAATACCACTCATAATGTCATTAGTAAGAATAATGCATGCCTGAAACATGGAGCCCAAGTGCATTCTAGTCCTATCCCATTGAGAACTAGCTTTAAAGCCAATACTTTGCCCAACTACTCTGAAATAAAGATTACAGAAAATCCGGCTCTTCCATATACCCTTGTCCAAGTTTCTTACCAAATCCTTTAAAGCAAACTGCCAAGTTCATAAAGCAAGAGGAAATTCTGGATAAAGACCTCAAAAATTATGTACATGTTTCAACCTATCTTATTAACCTTTGATCTTACTAAGTGCCATTAACTCTTACAGGAAAATATCTCCACACACAGGAAATCCTGAAAGATGAGAAAGAGAATGAATTTGCAAAATCAGACTATTACAGAACTTAACAGTAATTTTAAAAGTATGATATTACAAAAGCCAGACAGCTTGAGATTTTTTTAAGTGGGCATGTATTGCTATAAACCTCCCACACAGTACTGCCTTTAAAGCATCCCATAAGGTCTGGGAGCTTGTCTCTCTATTTCCACTAGTCTCTAGATACTCTTTGATCTCTTCTTTGATTTCTTCATTGACTCAAGAGTTGTTCGGAAGCATTTTGTTTAGACTTCACATGTTTTGGTTTATTCTGGGATTCTTTTTGTGGCTAATTTCTAGTTTTATAGCACTGTGGTCTGTGAAGATGCTTGATACAGATTCTGTTTTCATTTATTTTATGAAATGTGTTTCATGTTCTCACACATGCTCTATTTTTGAGAAATATTCCATCTGCACTAGAGAAGAAAGTGTACTCATTTCTTTTGGGATAGAAATTCTCCATAAATGTTCAATAAATCCATCTGTTCTAACACTTCAGTTAAGACCTTTATTTCTTTGTTAAATTTCTGACTGTGATCTATCCATTTGTGTCAGTGGTGTGTTGAGGTCTCCTACAATGTATTTCTGTTAATATGTTGTTTTAGATCTGTTCATAGATGCTTTATTTAACAATGTGCTCCTATATTAGGTACATAAATATTAATAACAATTGTGGCTTCTTGGTGAATTGTTCCCTTGGGCAGTATATGGTATTTATCTTTGTTCCTGACTACCTTTCAGAGTAGAGAGTCTAGTTTATCTGATATGAGAGTAGCAGTTCCTCCTTTGAGTTATTAGCATGTTTGACCTTCCTCCAGGCTATTACTTCTGTTTTGTTTTGGTCTTTGGTTTTAAATGGGTCTCTTGCAAACTAAGTATTGATACCTGAAACTTTTTTACCCACATAGTTAGTCTGTGTCTTCATAATGGAGAATTCAGGCCATTCCTCTTAGAGTGTTTATTGAGATGAACTGTTTATCAGTCCATTTTTTGATTTCTGATTGCTGTATTTTTCTGTTGTTTCTTTTTTCCCTTTCTCTCTGCTCTTTCTGGATGGCTTTCCTTAAAATTCTATCAATTTTGTTTTCTCATCTGTAATCTCTTGCTTTGGATGGTTTTTGGCTAATGTTTATCATGGGGTTTTACTTAAATTCCTATGTCTTTAGTCCCCCAGGAGTTGGGGTCTGGTCTCCAACATTTGACTCTACAGGTCCTGTCCCTTTCTTCCCCCCCGCCCCCCTGCCACCACCCCTTAGTGTTTTGTCACTGGCTCATAATTTTCTTGCCGGTGTTTCTGGTTTTGTGTTGCCACTGTCATTCTGCTCACGAATTTGTGCTTCAATCTTTCATTTCTTAAGCATTTCCTTTAGGGCAGGTCTGGTGGTGGTTAGCTCCCTTAGCTTCTGTTTGCCTGGGAAAACCTTTATTTCACCTTCATATTGTTAGGGGGAAATGATGTCCTGAGTTAATCCCATACAGGCTTTGTGGACTCCACCCCCACTCCAGACTAAAGCCATCAAGACATTGGGAAAGACAAATCCCATCACCACCAAAGGGAGGGTGGCTGGGACCTGAGGGTGGAGTTGGGCAGCCAGGTTGGATATAAAAACCAAACACGTGGGCCTTGGGTCTTTCTGGCTCGCGATCGCTTGCCTCCTGGCTTCACCGCTCCTGGCTGGCGGCGAACTCTGAGAGCGCCATTTTGGGATTCCTGATCGGCAGATCGGGTAGTACTCATTTAAAACCTTGTCTCCCACTTTTCTCCCGGAGCTGTACATTTCCTCATTTCCCCTTCCCTTGTAAATAAACCTTTTTTATTAACCTTTCATGTGTGCCTGCAGTAGAGCATTGATAAGTCCTTTTAAGCGCGTGGGTGAGGACCCACAGTCAGGCACCCCGTTTTGTATCGGGGTTGCTCTACAACAGTTTGGCGCCCAGCGTGGTTTCCAAGTTACACCCGTGGTTGACCAGCCCAAAGTAACATTCCTTGTGTTGGTCACCATAAGCGCACTAGTTCTGCAGGACTAGCAGTATAATATTTGTCTCTAGTCCTGAAAAGTCTGTTTTTTTCCCTGTGCGTACAGCCCTTTTGCTCTACAATACCTGCATGATAATTTTGCAGGACTGAGTACTGTTGGCTGGCAGTTCTTGTCTTTTAGGATTGTGAATACTCTGTTCCACCCTTCTTGACTGTAGAATGTCTGGGCTGAAGTCCAGGGAAATCCTAATTTGGGAGCCTTTGGAAGATTTTTTTTCCCCTTGCTTCCCACAATTTTTTCTTTATCTTTGGTTTTTGATATTTTGACAATGATGTGCCTCTTTGCATCTAAAAATTTGGGTGTTTGCTTTGCTTCCTGGAGAGCCATAATTAGTTCACTGTGTTACAGGGCAGGGAGAAGGGCAGCCCAAACCCCGCAAACCTGCCTATTCTAAAGGGGTTCTGCCATCCGCTGCATCAACACAAAACATATGAGACTTTAATGGGAAGGAACTTTAATAAAACTATGAAACAATACAGGAAAGGCAAAGAATCTAGTTTCTAAATCAAGCACCCAAAGTTACCCGTCCCCTCGTGGGTAAAAGTCCATCCATATGGGATCGGCCCAGAACAAGGCCCCAAAGCCTGCCACAAGTCTAAAGCATCTTCCTGTGGGGACCCACAGAAAAGGGCCAGAAACCACCAGACAAGCCCAGAAGGAAAAGAGCAAAATCAAAATCAAGATAAAAGCTGCCACTGTCACCTCCCCACAGGCCTCACCCACATCTGTGTCACCCAGTCCATGACCAAAAGACAAGTGCAGTTTCTTCACGTGTCTCTAGGCTCCATGTGCCTCCTCCAGGTCTCCTGGCTCCATCCTGCTTCCTTCCTCAGTCTCTTCTGCAGCTTCTCCTCTTCCTGCTCAGCTCCACCCTCCCTTGGGTGGGGCAGGGAACCTCCCCCTTTCCTGGGGACCACCCTGTTACAATTGCCTAGTTTTGGGGAATTCTCAGTAATTATTTCTATTATTCTATTCCTATTATGAATGGGGTTTCTGCTCCCATTTCTCTCTCTTTACCTCCTGGGATCCAATTATTCTTAAGTTTTCTCTTCTAATTGAGTCTGATGTTTCTTATAGAGTTTCCTCATTTTTCCTTTATCTTTGATTCTCTCCCTTTTTCTAAGTGGGTGATTGGTTCACTTCAGTCTTCTATATCTGAAATTCTTCTGCCAGTCTAATTCTATTTAAAGTGCTAACTTTGTATTTCATTTACAGTCTCTTTTTATGATCTTTTTATATATTTAATCTCTTCGGTGAAGAACCCTCTTTCCTCCTACATCTCCTTTCTAAGTTCTTGCACCTGTCTGTAGCCTTTGTCTGACCTTCTAATAGCTCATTTAGCATTTTAAATGTTGCTTTGAAGTCTCTGCCTGATAGGTCCTCTACTTCTGTATCCTTCCTTTATGTATCTCATATGACTTCTGTTGTTCTCATTTTGCTTTCTATCTTGTGTTTAGATGTTGCTAGCTATCTAGGCATGTGTTGCCTTATTTACTGTGTGTGTGTGTGTGTGTGTGGAAGGGGGGTTGCTGGAGATGCAGTTTTGTTTGTTTCTCTCTCAGTTTATCTTAGTGTGAGGTAGTGGCAGGAGAGGAATTGGGACTTTAATATCCGATCTGTTTGAGATGAAGTTGATCACGACTGCCTCCTCTTCTTTCATTCCACAGCTTAGGTTTCCTTAACTTCCCACCCTGCCTCCCTGGTGCTCTTTTCTGCAGAGTCACGATCTATGACCCTGCATCTCTTAGTGGGAGAAGCCAAGTCTGGACCTCCAGGTTCCAAATTGGGGACTCATTTGCACTTGGTTGGATGGAGTGTTGTGCTGTAGTGTGGCAGGCAAATGTGGACTTGTCGCTGCGGCTGCCAACTATGGCCATGACTGCCCAGCCCCAGTACTTGCTGCAGCTTCTGCAGGGCTGCAATATCTGTGTGCTGTTTGTTTACTTTTCCAAGGGATTTGTGAGTTACCTCAAGTCTTTTTTTATGGAGTCCGGCCTGGCTTAGCCTGACTTTTCTTTGCTCTCTTCTGGGTGGTGGGAAGGGAAGGGTCTTTCAGTGACCATCTGCAGAGTTCCCAATTTCCTGAGTCTTTGCCTGCAGAGTTCCCACTGTCCTGGGTAGGATTTTTGCCTATTTGCATGTCAGCAGAGCTTTACAGGAGTTTCACAATGTTCTGGGCTGACCCTGCTGTGCCCAGGTGGTTTACCCACAGCCCAGTCATGCTCTTCTTTATATCCTCCTACTCCTTCTCAGCAGTCACCAAGCTTAGCTTACTACTGAAGGCCTTTTATGACCCCATATACATTTAAATATTTTTAGTTCTACTTCCTTGAAGAGTATTACATTTTAATGGTGATTGATGTAAATATACACATTGCTTTTGGTAGACATTTTGATTATATTGATTATACATCTCCCCATCAATGAACATGGAATGTCTATCTCTTATGTTTGCCCTATATCTTTTAGTAGAGTCTTCTGATTTTCACTGTATAAGTCTTTCA